TACTATATATATATATATATATATATATATATATATATATATATATATATATATATATATATATATATATGTATTTTCCGGGTCTATTTTTTTCGATTGCCAAATTTTTTTTATACAACCAATATTTTCGCCGCATCATTAAACATTTAAACCATTAATCTTAAAATTATGGTAAAAATTTTGGCCTTGCAAGGTTAAACTAATATTTTTATCTTTAAAAATATTTTTGTCTTTAATTTTAGATGCACCCAGTATGATAATATCATTTATGTACAATAATATGCCACAAAAGATAACAATGAAATTACCATTGACGATAAACAAATTCTTTGAGCCAACGGAAATGAACGGAGAGTCATTTTTTGCGAGATGGAAAAACCTTGGCGGGTATTGTATTTTTATTATTAAAATTTTTTTAATAAATTAAATTTTACTATAAATTATTAAAATAAATAATTTTTTTTAATAGCGCAAATCAACAACGTTCCCAAAAAATTTTCAAAGCCCAACAGCCAATGGACTTGGCCCAAGTCCGTACAAAATTACAAGGCTTTGGTATGCAGTTACTTGACAATATTGATCCTAATCCCGATAACTTTGTCTGCGCTGGTATTGTTCACATGCGAGCACAACAAGTTGGTTGTTTGCTACGCTTAGAACCTAACAAACAAGCCCAGGTATTTATCTTTTATTTGAAATAACAATTGAAAGTTATTAAAATTAATTACTAATAACAATTTTAATAGATGTTCCGGTTGACTGTACGCTCGAGTAAAGAATCAATGTCGATAGAAATATGTGACCTGCTGGTAGATCAATTTTAAGCTGTTCAAAAGGTACTGATTTGTTATTCATTCATTAAAAGATAATAAGTATCACCAATCGTATATATAATAATATAATCTACGAATATCAATCGAATTAAAACGTCAGATAAAAAACGAACAAGCTGGACTGACTGTTTGATTTATTAAAAAAAAAAAAAAAAACAACTCCCGGTCAGTATACGGAAAAAACAAAATGACACTAGATATCATCCCATATTATACTCAGTGATATCTGCGGTAAAAATTTTTTAGATAGTAGCTAAAAAAAAATACAGATTATACTGTGTGATATCTGGATTATACTGTGTGATATCTGGATTATACTGAGTGATATCTGGATTATACTAGCTGCTATCTGAAATTTTTTTCGCTCAGTGTAATCTGGAATGATATCCAGTGTCATCTTGTTCTTTCCGTGTAGTTTAAAACTGACCGGCTGTTTATTTCATCAAGAAAGCACGAATAGCCAAGACAATTGGACAGTATTAGTCCGGTATTTAATTGATAGTAACTCACTAGTTGACTATTGATTTAATTAAATGAATGGGTCTATTCTTTTATTATTATTTTATAAAAATCGCTGTATCATTTTTTTGCTTGTGACTGTCTGTTGCAACGATAAGGCTTTTGCGTTATTATTAGTTGTACAATAATTAATTAATTAGATCCAGCGTATTTAAATGGAGCTCAAATTTATTTTTATCCCATTACATATATAGTCGTTAATTAATTATCATTTTTTGTTATTATACTCTGTGTTTTGTAAAACAAATATTAATTGCCGGTGAATTTGTTAATTGTCTAACAAAAAAATCATCCGGTTTTATTTTAAAATTTAATAATATTTTCTTATATTATAAATTATAATTATAAATAAATTAAGTTGAATTATCGGTAATTAAATAACTAAATGATTTGTAAAGGTAGATTTCAATTGTAAATAGTTAATTATTGGCTTGTCTGATAACTTATGATTATTAATTAAAGATTAATCGATTCATTATTGATTTATCAATAACTCAATAGGAGAAAATAAATTAAATTTATTAAATCAGGATTCGCTTTATTGCGTATTTTTTTATTATTATTATTATTATAATTACAATTATAACTATTATAAATATTAATATAATTTATTTTAGGCTTCACATTGATATTGTTTGACGATTTGTTTTTTATTACTCAGATGTAAATTTATTTCTTCTTTTTATAAGTGTTAACTTCCTATAGAATAAAAATTAGTGCAGGCTCTAAATTTACTCAAGAAAGTTGATTTTTTTTTTTTTTTTTTTTTTTTTTTTTTTT